TTGAACCCTGGTGCTGGAGATCTCCTGGCTTGTTAGGTTGTCAGGCTTAACTTTACCAGATTAATAGAGTAGACCTTCGGGTGTTCATTCTGCACAGAAATCTTTTAAAAAGGCAACAGAGTACAGAAACCATCCTCTGCCAGCGACCTCTCCTTCATTCTCCTCTTATGCAGTTAACACGAGAGGCAGGTCTAGATCTTCTTGGAGGAACTGGACATCCTGAAAATGTCTGGAAGGTAGGAATTAGGTTTCAAGGAAGAGAACAGAGTGGGCCCCGAGGTTCCGGTGGTTCTCACTGCTATAGGACCCTTAGGGCTGACACCCTCCCCACCAGGCGTCCCTACTCCCTGCACCCCACCCTAGGGAGCCAGGTATCCATTCAGGTTTCTTTGGATGCGTCCTCCCCTCCACTAAAGCAGGACTCCGCCCTGCCTGGACCACGTGAACTCTTAGGGGCAGCCAGAAAGTAGCAACAGTGACGCGGATACAGGGCAGTTTTCTGGAAACGTGACGATCTCAACTCCCTCCTCGCTCGGTCCCCAAGTCCCAGCGGCAGACTGGTCCCCGCCAGCCTCTGTTCGCGTCTCAGCCCTGCCCTCCTGCCCGCTGAGCTCTGTCTCTTTTCACACCTAATTCCAGCTCTCACGCCGTGGACAACGTCGAGGTCCTGACCGAGGGTGGGCACATGGGGACAAGGCCGAGGCAGAGCGCGAGGGAGGGTGGGCAGCTTCTCAGCCCGGGGGTGGTCTGCGATTCCGGACAGACAGACTGACGTCCCCGACAAGCGTGGGTGAAAAGGGGGGCGGGTTGTGGTGGAGGAGGTGGAGCCGCCGAGGAGGGGCGGTGCCGCGGGGAGCGGAGCCCGGCCTCCCGCCCCCACCCCTTTCGGTGCCTGAGTCTGGGCGGTGACACAAAAAGCTCCCGCTCGGAGCCGAGCGCCTGGCGGCGGTGTCCGACCGGGAGCGCGGAGGGCGGCGGGGCAGGTGGGGCGCCTCCCGAGAGGCCGAGCCGGGAGCTGGGGCTGCAGGCACAGCCGCCGCGCTCTCTGCGCCCGCCTCGCAGCCCGCGACGAGCGTCTGGCTGAGCGGGTGGCAGGCGCGTCGGGACCACCCAGCGATGCTGCCGCCGCCGCTGCGGTCACCGCCTCTGTAGCGTGCGCCCGCGCCCGCTGCGGAGAGAGGTCGGTGAGTTTCGGTTTGTTTCTCTGCTCTGTCCCTCCTGGGTCAGGGGTGGCGAGAGGGGCGGGAAGGGATGTCTGCGCTTCCAGGGCGGCAGCACCCGGAGCTAGGGAAGCGAAAAAGGGGAGGTACCGCCTGGTGTAGTGGGGGTTACCTTTTGGACCGTGGAGGATAGTGGCGGGGCTCAGGGATCCCGGAGAGGGGAGCGCGGGACGCGGCGGGGCGGCCCTGGGGCGCGGGGAAGGTGGTCCCTGGAGTTACGTTTCTCCCGAGCGCTGGTGGAGTTGGGCTGGCGGCTGGGGCGGGGAGAGGCGCTGTCGGCAGCTCAGCCGAGTCCTCGGATGCCCCCTGAAGCTGTGGCCCGAGGGAGCTGGTCGCGTGCCCGCGCCGCGCGCGCGCCCCTGGAGTGCACGTGCGTGCGCGCGCGCCCCAGCTGCACCCCTACCCCACACTCCCCCCGAACAGGCCCCTCGCAAGACCAGGGTCGAGCTCCTTCCCTATCCCCAGAAGTTGTCTCTGCGACCCCGGGGCCCCTTGGGGGAGGAGAGGGCGCAGTGGCCGGCCAGATGTTGGGGAGATTTTGTGAGGACCCACGCGCCTGGGGCGCCTGCTCCTGGAAGGGCAGCGGCAGGACAAAGCAGTCTGGACTCGTGGGACGCTGCTCGGGAGGCGGCGGTCCCCAGTCCCGCCTAAGGTGGGGGCGGGGAGCACCGCACGGCTTTGGAAAGAGTAGAGAAATAGGCAAAACATAGTGACAATGACTTGATAAGGTGGCGGACAGAGCGAAGGAAAGGATGCTCGCCAACGCAGCGCTGGCGTGTCTGTCTGGGCGGGTGACTGGGCCCCCGCATTCCCACATAACCGGGTTTACCTAGTTTATTTTGCTTGTGCCCCTCGATGTCATTCACTGCCTTCTCGTCTTTCTTTCTTTCTGAGGGATTACCGTTGCTAGTAGAGGTATAGCACCGGAGGGTAACTTGGGGGCAGGGGAGACTGCAGGGGAGTGGGGGGAGGTAGGTGGTTATTTATCCTATAGAGACAATTAGGAAGCGTTACGCCCCCTCCGCGGCCCGCCAGCCCGCCACACCTCGGCGGTCCTCCACCTCTCCTAGTGCACCGTCGCTCCTCTGCCCGGGGAGGATGCTTGGATTTCTTTGCTGCGCGTATCTAACCCTTACTGCATGTTATTTCACTGCAGGCTGAACAAAGCTCAGGCTCAATTGTGCTTCCTGCTTGTCAGCCTCTTGCCTCCCAAACCCGTACCATTTCCACTTGATGTCATCACGCAGAAGGGGGTGAAAGGGACTCGGTGACAGATTCAGGTAACCCCCAATAATCTGGGTAGCCGCCTGGGAGTCTCTGGGTCATTTGGGCCAACAGTGTTTGCACGGGGGCTGTTTGGGTGGTTTCTGCATGACACTATCCATTCCTATCTACATGAAGGAAGAGTGGGGACTGCTGAAACTCCTGGTCCGGAGAAAGAAATTGCAAATGACTTTAAACCTTCCTTTTGAGGAAGTCATTGAGGGCAGGCTGCATTTGGAGTTGTATACATTCCACCCAGCTCCCTTTGATGAGAATTTTAATTCAATCAACATATGGGCAGTTGTATCTGAATGTGGGGTTTAGATATGTCTGCTTTCTTATCTGTAGTCATATATTTCGGCTTCAGTCTGTAAGTGGGATATCCTTTGTTGTAAAGGTATCATTGTAAGGATGATTAGAAATGTGATCAGTGCTGAATTAGGGCATTGGTCAAATGTGGTAACCTTCTTATGAAATAATGTCTCTCTCCCATCTCTTCAATGTAATAGCGTTTGCAATATTAAGAGGGACAGGCCAGCAGTAAGTTACTGGGAGGTGGAAGGGAGGGCTATTGGGGGAGCAGAAAGAGATCAGAAAATGGAGCTTTAGTTAAGTTTCCATTTATATAGCCATGAACCATTAGGCTCTCAGTCTGCATTTTATCTTTAGGTTGTTGGTTCTTTTCCACAACCTCTGGCCTGTTCTTTTCTTTCCAAGGATAGTTCTGTTTTCATGTCAGCCTACCCAGATTTGGGGTTATCTTGATAAATTTCAGTGGAAACATAACCTTCAGACACATCAGGACACCTTGGTGTTGGTGCTGTCTCCTAGAGGGCAGCGTCCTGGCATCCTCCACGAGCATCAGGGACTAAGACTGTGTATGGAAGGGACTCCAGGTTTATTTTGTGGGAAAAAGGGATTGCTGAGGACCAGAGGCTGCTGGTGCTGTTTCTTGCTCTGCAGCAACAGCGCCGTATCCGTGGCAGAGCCTCTCGCCACCGTTCCCCATCCCCCGCCCCCAAATCCCTTAAAAAGTAAAATGTAAAAACTTGAAGGATTGATCATTCCCATCTAGGGTAGTTTTGTTTGGAAAGGTAACTTTAAAAAACATCAGCAAGGCTGGCACTTATTCTTGTTCTCAAAGCATTCAAGTATCACCAGGAAAAGTAGATGAGTTATCAACTAGTCCCAGCTGAAACAAAGACCAGTGCTTTGGAAAGTGCAGATCTGTAGTGGGGCTAGGGTAGAGGTCTTCTGACAAGTGGTTTTTATGTCAGCAGTAATGAGGGGTGTGTGTTGTGTTCCTGCAAGAGGAGAAACCATGTGATTGGATAATAGGGAGTATAATAATGCAATAGAAACAGAGGGTGTGGTTTTGTTTTTTTTTAAATAGAAAAAAATAAATACCTCACACACACAATTCCACATGGGAAAACAGCTGCCTGCACATGTAAGTGCATGTCCAAGAACAAAGATAGCCATAGTGCAGGGCCAGCTTTCATCGTGGTTTGACACTGAGTCTAGTGATCAGTCATGATAAAGGGTTATATTGATGTTTAATTTGTTTTTTTTTAGATGGAGGCTCCCCACTGCCAGATGTCGGCAGTAGTGCGTTTTAGTTTTAGGTTGGAGGAGCCCTAGAGGTTATGCGACCAACTTTTACCTCCAGAGCTGAGTCTTTCCTACAGTGTTCGTTTAATTCCTTTGGCAGATGTTTATCGAGCACCTGATGGAGAATGGGCTCTGTGACAGCTGCCAAGGGGTGGGCTGGGGTGGGTGCAGAGAAACAAAAATGAGCCGCCTTCAGGGAGCTTTCGGGGTGATGGAGAAGGGAAGACCTTATTCTAATTAAGTTCAGTGGAAGCTGGAGAGAGAGAGGAACAAAGAAGGGTGTTGGACTTCTGAGGTGGAAGCTTACGATCATTCAGCCTCTACTTGAATGCCTCTTTCATTGGGGCGCTCACTACTTCACAAATGGCTGGACCTGTTGTCAGAAGGTGACCTTTTCTTCATAGTCTTTAAACTCCTCAGCTGAATTCCACACGAGTGGTTAGATTTCACCATTGTTGAGAGGTCATTCTGTTTTCATTCCTTACTGTCTCAGAGTTGTCTGGACCTGTCTGTCCTGTCAGCACCTTCTGCATATCAAGGTCTTATTCAGGCCCTGCTGCATTTGAATTTTGAAATAAATTCTGCTTTAGAAAACAGATGGGAGGGGGACGTTGATAGGTTTCTCTCTTCTTCAAGCAGTGATGTATCAGCAAGATAGGTGAGGTTATACTGCGGTAACACATAACCTTCAGATCTCAGTGGCCAAAAACAATTTCTTTCTTTCCCATGCTGTGTGTCCAACACCGTCAGCAGGTGGGCCCTGCTTATCGTAGTCACTCAAGGACCCAAATGAGTAGAAGGCGTGATCCTGACGTGTGCTCGTGAGGTCACCGCAGCACGGGAAAGGAAGCGTAGAGGATCTTGCTCTAACAATGACACAATCTGACCCAGAAGTGACTTACGTTGTTTCGGCCAGACTAGTCCTGTGACCCCATTTAGCCACAATCCAGTATTTCTTGTGCTGAAAAGGGGAAACCTGGATATAGATGAGCAGCACTAATGACTTCCACAAGTGATGGGGCCAAGATGAGTTTATAAAGTGTGTTCCTACTTAATGCTTCATAGGCACTGAGTGTTATCCGAGTGTGGATTGAATGAAGAAATGATATGTATCTTCAAGAATCTGGTCTTACCCCAACCTGTTCTTTACTAATATGTTGGTGTAATATTTGCTAATTTGAGTGTAAACCGATCATCAAATAAAAAATTGTGGTTTCTCTCTCTTTTAACCTGTTTTGAGTAGTTGTTTATTGTGAAGTGATAGGCCAGGGGATATTTCTAAGACTGGTTCTAGGAGGTTCTGTGCTTCGTGTTATGTAATGAGAGGTGTTGCTGACAGACTTCCTCTCCCTCGCCATCTGCCTCTTGACAGGCTTCCTGAGTTTGTTTGGTACAGCCCAGGGTAGAAAAAGATTAGCAGTGGGCCTAGCATCACCCAGGAAGGAGGAGGACTCCTGCAGCAAAGACTGTGCAGTGGCTCAGGCCTAGAGGAGGCAGGGGAGTCTGGGGTAGCCTTGGATCTCCCTCTTATTGCTTTGATATTTAGAAAAAGCAATTTGAAAGAGAGGCATTCTCTTGTTCCAGCGCAAATTGAACACCTGAAGGTTCTGGGACATTTGAACTTCCATCAACAGCCACATTGACCATGAGGGTGGTAAGTTTTGAAGCCTTCCTTGCCACACTCTCCCTGGAAAAGACTGAGTGCTGTGAAGTGGGAACAGCGAGGGGCTGTGGATTCAGCAGCTGGCGGCTGGTTGAGAGACTTTGCTGCGGAAAGTGCTGGTCGCGCAGATATCTTTGTTGTGATAAATGCATACATGGATTAGAGTGTTTAGCATTTGATAAGCACCTTGAGCATGAGCATGGAATTTAACAAAATAATATTGCTCTGGCTCAATAGTCACCTCTTGGAAGTCATTTTTACAAAGACGGCTTTCCATAGACAAGGGACATGGTAACTGACTGACAGCTCCAGAGTCACAGTCACTGGAGGACATCCGTGTTGGCCGAAAGGTGCAGGGGCTGCCCTCTAGTCCAGCTTCCCTTGAGTCACAAAGTGTTGCACCCATAAGGGGTTCTGCAGTGGAGGTAAGCAGCTGAGAAACCGGCAGGGAGACCCAGATATAGCCCATCCAAGACCTCCAGGAGCCAACTCAGGGTGCCTGGGGTCAGGCTGAGGGCCAGGTGCAGACTGAACGAGGGGGAAAATTCAACCCTGAGGGACTGGTCTTGGAAGATCTTTGGGAAGCTCCAAAATACATGCCCATATTTTGTTTGGCCTCTGAGTCCCTAATGTTTTATTTTCATCATGCAGTCGTCTGTCCAGGTAGAGAGAAGACACATGTGGAGGGTTGCTTGGTTCCTGGCGAACGTCTGTCTCCATGTGGTGGAAGACGGCAGGGAGGAAGACAGTGGTCTTCGTGCTCCTTCCCGCACGGCTCTGGGAGCTACACTGTGTAGTCCAGGACAAAATAAGTACTTGTTTTATGTTAAAGGATTTTCTATCCCTAGGTGACATGTATTGTCATGGTAAGATTTAAGGAGGGAGGCCTCAAGCTGTGCGTTTGCAACTTGTATTTCCTTTGGGTAGTTTTTGAGGCCTGGGATTTCCTGGCCGAGACCCGAGGTGGCTGCTGAGGCCTGGGACACATTCTCTGTGGAGTTGTGGGGGAGCCACCTATGACCTGCTGGGAGTGCAAGGGATGAGTAGGAAAGGATGCCTTGTTTACCACTTGATTTATGACTTCCTGCCTGGAAAAACTCATTGCAAATGTCCAGCATGGCAAAGGTTATTCTAACATTACACAGTCTTCCTGGGGGATCAGCCTTCGTGCGAGGAAGGGATTGATCAAATGCAGATGTGCTGCTGGTGGGGACGAAGTCAGGATGAAATGGAATCTACAGACGCTGTGCTCTATGCTTGTGTTTTCTCTTTCTTCTTCCCCCACCCCCATCTTGTTCCTGCCTATCAAGGAAGTGTAACATGTCTACCTCACTTTCCATTTATAAATCTAAATAGTCACCCTTAATGCACTACTTACTGAAGTGCTACAAGAATGGATGAGATTTTGGTAAAAGCTTTGGCAGATACTGTGGAAATAGGGAGCATTATTAATTTTGGTTTTCTGCTTTTTAACAGATTGACCATCCTTAGTCACAGTGACACATCCTTAGTGACAGTTCCCACACCTTCCTTAATTTCCATCCCCACTGCCACATCCTAGCTGAGAACCTTGTTTTTTTCACTCCTGGCTTTCCTATTTCCAACTTCCTGTCCAACTTCGACTTTTGCTCTGCCTGGCCTTATAATGTGCCACATTAGCTGGGGTGGTTTGCCCACTTGTCCCTCAAAATGCTTTGCATAACCTCTTTCTTAATTCTGGAATCTTCTGTGGTCTACAGTGTCCTCTCCTTCATGATACCCCATCATTAAAGGTGTGACTCAGCTCTTAACTCTCCTAAAAAATTTAACTCTATCGTGTTAACTTGTCGTAATCCTTGACTCTGTCAAAGATCTCTGGCAAAATCACCTTTGTCTCTCATTTTACTCAACATTTGTTCATTTGTTCTACAAAGGGCACTTATTATAGATTGTCCTGTATTATCACCTAAAATTGAAGTGTCTTTTTCTTTCTGTTTAAAGGCAAAGGAAAGAAACTCACTCAAGCCAGTTCATGTTAAAGGGAAGTGTATTCAAAGATGTCCTGGGATGTCTTTTGTCATCAAGCTACATATCACAAGAGTCCCAGTAAATGGGACTCTTCTAGTAACTGCTGATTCGGGGGAGAGGGTGGGGGATACAGTTCTTTCCAAGGGGGCTTGCGGGCAGCAGATGTAGAGACTGAAACCAGCAGGATCTCAGTTCTTTTGCAGGTTCCTTAAAGATGAAGACTGGATGAAGTTTGACTCTATTTTGTATTCCCCACCATATTTGTACAAAGTAAGGGCTAAATAAATACTCAATCATTGCTAACACAGAAATGATTTTGACCTAGTGTGATAAAGAAATTATAGAGGGCTTCTGGCCTGTAGACTTAAAGGAAGTTAAGAAGAAAGAAACATGTTTTTTTAAGAGCTTCCCCTACGTGCATTTATAATGAGTAAATGTTGAATCAGATTAGCATTCCCAGGCTGCAGTGTGCATACCAATGGTTGGGAGGTAAATATTCTCATAGAGGGTCATCATTCTAACAAAATGAATTATCTTTGGTGGTCTGTTCAGCTTGAATTGGCCTGCTTCTTCCAAAACAACAACAAAGCAAACCAAAAAAACCCTCTTCTTGGCGACATACAGCAAGCAGCATTAGAACTCTACACCCCACCAGGCCAGCCTACCATCTCAAGGAGCAGACTGTGCTGTTTGGATTTGACACTAGTGGGTCACAGTTGCCCACACCGGCTGCTACATCTCCCTTCCTAATTAACTTGTGGCCGTAAATGCCTTTGGGAGAGACATCTGCTTTACCTTACCTCTTTTGATTTTGGAATACTCATTCACATGACAGAAAGTCTTCAATACTCGGAATGCTTGATCATTATGGATAGTGTTGTTATGAAAGAAGAAATGTGTTCAGCTGCTTGGAGAAAATGGCCAGGAATACATTAACATTAAAATAATGTTCTCAGTTTGACGGATAATGAATGGAACTGAGATAAATGTCTCAAAAACAAAGTATTTGGTGTGATAGTCTTTTGCAGTTGTATTGCTCTGGGGTAGGTTTGCAAATTGCTTCCTTGCAGGTTAAATGAGCTTAAGAGTGGTTGGAGAGCACACGGATAGATCTCTGTACTTTATTTAGTGATTTTGCCCCATTGTTGCACAAGGCATATGGATTACTGTCATTTTAAGTGAGTAAGAGCTAGTTCACCCCTGCTGGTAGAGAGCCATCCTTAACTGGAGTAAGTACCTGTCCATCGACTCCTGCTCCATCACACTAGCTCTTCAGAAACTTAAGGTAGGAATCCATCTATTCACTTATGGTGGTGGGTGAAATAGCATTTGAAACACTGAGCTTCAATAACTTAAACCTCATATTAGGTATACAATTGTGTTTATTAAGTTTATTCAAATATTGAGTGCCTACTGTTTGCCAGGCACAATCCTGCCCAGTTCTAACTAAAATCCCTGCCTTGCTTTAGCTTAATGTATGAACTTAACTCATAATTTGGTTTTCTGCCCCCCCCCCTTTGGCAATGACACAGCTAAAAGTGGAGAGAATAAAAGAAATGTATCTGAGCCTCTTCTCAGTTCTTGATTCCTTTCTGTATATGCCTACCTTACTTGATCCTAATTCAGTTGAGTGGATAAAACCATGGAAATTTTGAAGCAAGATGGATTGGGTTCAAGTGTGAGCTCTGCCATAATGACCTTGAGTAAATAAGGTCTGATTGAGCTTTGGTTTCTTCATCTGGAGAATGGAGGTCAGTCAACCTCACTGAGTTATTGTGAGAGGAAGTGAGATCGTTTATATGAAGGGCCTGGCGTGTTCTATGACTGCATGATGGCAGTTCTTACTAACGTCCATTTTGTTCAGTGCTTACCATCCACCAGAATTGGTGCTGGATTCTGGAAATCTTGGGATGAATAGTTATGGTCTAAACAGAAGAAGCTGTTAAACTAGCCAAGGAAATAACCACATCCAAATAACTACAGCTGTAGGCATTTACACGAGGATTTCTTCTGAAAGTCATGTCATTGGAGTCTTGTCATTGGAAAGTCTTTGTAAAACTTTGCTTAAATGGTGTGAACTTGAAAAGCATAGGCCTTCTCAAGAGGAAGCTGAAAGATGCTGTGAGGTTCTGAGACAGCCCCCAGGCAGCCCAGGCCTTCCTTACTGTGCACCATCTGCTTTGCTCCTGTGGCCTCACTCCTTTCAGGCAAGTGAAGGCCCTCTTGTAAAGGCTCCTCCTTTCCTAGGGTCGGTTTCTTGGGGGCAGGGTGACTCACTGACTTCCCTTGTCCAGGATGAAGAGGATCCTTGGGTTGAAGGACTTTCCAGTTTAAAACCAGAACAGTCCCAGGAAACCGGGGACCAGTTGGTCACCCTACTTAGGGGTCCTGTCCTTGTTCTGTGATTGTTGTTTGCATCCTGAAGCAGACTGGACATTTCACATGGTTAGAGATACAGCCACCGTAAGAAGAAGCAGGAGAGAATGGGGCAGGATAAGACTGGAGAAGGCAGCATGGCTTCATCAGTCACTTTACTTATGAATGTTCTTGGATCTTTATTAGTATTATTTAAAGAAGAGAGCTCTTTATAAAGGCATGAAAACTAGATGACAATGTAAAATATAAAGTCAATGGAATCTGTACAAAGTTCCTCTTAGACGGTGGTATTTGCTGTGCCTGGCAGGGCTGTCACACAGAGCTTGGCACACAGTAGACACTCAATAAATGCTTGTTGAAGGAATGCTGGAATCCGTTTACTCTTCAGGAGTAACTTAGAGAGCTGGGTTTCAGTTCAGACTGGGTTGCTGATGGTTGTAAGATTTCACTCTGGGCTGTTTAATGGCTAATTTGAAAACGTGTAAACCCAGATCTGCTTTGGGTTCCTTGTGCTGATGTCTGAGTATATTTATGTATGAGCTTAGGCTTTGCTTGACTTTTTTTTCTTCGTGGAACCACAGGACACCGGCAGACGAGGTGCCTTGTCT